AAGTCATAAATATTTGTTGCAGAAAAGTTCTACAGTAGAAAACATAAGGAAAGTATATGCTCCTTATAGAAAATTCAGAAAAGATTTAAAAAGCAGTAATAATCTTCCTTAATTTCAGAACTCATGGGTAGTGAATGTAGGCATTTTGATGTATTTCTTTTCTTTTGCAAGTTTTTCTTTTTTTATTCTTAGAGAAGACAGTGAATCATAGAATAAAGACATCCATTGGTATCAATATTGTTAAAATTCTTCTGAATTTCTAATAATGTTGATTAAGTTGAAAAGAAGTCATTAATAGAAATTAAGATCAGAAATTTTTGTAAGTCATTATATTTCCAGAAAAACTAAGCAGTTTTAGTATAACTAAACAATAGTTTCATCAGTAATGATTACTTATATCTTTTCATTTCTTTAGAAAAACCTATTAATATACTAATGAAATGAGAAAGAACAGAAGTCAAACATTTAAAACTTTGTTGTAGATTTTAGGATTTTATTTTTAATATTCTGGTTAAGAGAAGATGCAAAGAGAATGCACTTTCCATTTATTTTTATCCATTAATTGACTGTCTAAAATTTAAAAGAGAGTACATCTCTGGCACATAGTGGACAGTCAGTAAATATTTCATTACTTCCATTTGAGAATATGTAAAAGAAATGAAGTGCTGCATGTTCGTGCTGATTTGAAGTTTATTCATATCTATTTCCTGTGTTGACTTTAGGTAATGAGCTCACAGTATTGATGCAATCAGTACGGTTCTGACTGTAGGTTCTGCAGTGTTTGAGTTCCCAAGTTTTTCTCCATAACTGCACACTGTATCTTGTTTCTCGAGATCTGATTGGTTTGGTGGCCCTTACTTTATTCAGCACACTATTTGGGCCCTCTCCAGTGCTTGCCACATATAAGCGGCACTCAGCAGACCTGGCTAGTCACATCCATAGACAAACATATTCTGTACAGATGCAGTGAGAGGGTATTAAAAATACTTACTCTTATTTAATGCACTTTCTTGATATGGATAAAAATTGAAGAAACATAATGAAAATATTCCTTTTTTAAAAAATCATTAATCTGGGCATTCAGTTGCACAGAACTGTAGCCCTTTGGATCAAGATCAAATCAGCAAAACTAAAGGTGAATTCTGTGACTCCCTTTCTATCATATTATTATATTATGATTGGGGGATATCTAAAATGGTTATTTCTTTTTAATTATAAGTTGCAGAAAGAAAAGAAATTCAGTTAAGGGCCAGGGATTTAGCTCAGTGGTTCCGCTGCCTGCTGTGCAAGCGCAAGGACCCGAGTTCAATCCCTGATACCAAAAAAAAAAGAAAGAATAAGAAATTCAGTTTCTCTATCTGGGTAGAGACTCAAAACATCCACATAGTCATTGCCACTGTAGTCATTGTACTTGCTAAGGTTGTTCACAGTGGACCCATAGTAAAACCTACTGGGGTATCACCCCAGCTTCTCAAACAAAAATTATCAAAAGACAAGAAATAGGATCTTGAAGCACAAATGCCATAAATAAAAATTTTCTTTCTTTTTTGTGGTGCTGGGAATTGAACTCAGGGCCTCTCTGTGCTAGGCAAGTGCTCTGCCACTGAGCTGTCCCACCAGGTTCCAGAGTAAGAATTTTCAAAAAGACTTTCTATTACATATTATTTCCTTCATTTTTCTACATTGTCATTTATTCCATAGATTAAAATTCTCTTATCCCTCTTTTCTCAACTTGTTTCCACTGAAATCACTGAAAGAAATTTTCTACAAGGGTAGAATACATTTTAACTTTGCTTAAAAGAATTTCCACTTGCTCTAAGTAGATCCATGTCCAGTATACTTTATTTTTGGCAATTCATAGACATCTTTGCATGGTGATTATAGTGGAATACAGTGGAACATCTCTCATTTGAGTTTATCATGGCATTAACATATGAGGGAAGAGAAGAAACTGGATCACATGAAATGTTTTCCGTGATATATGTATGGGCAGAAACATTGCCCCTAGGAAGCCTGGGCCAGGCCCTTCAATCAAGACCACAGCCATCAAATCAGAGATAAAAAGTCCCCTCTAGGCAGTTCAGTCCAGCCCTACTGTTTTATAAATGAGAAAACTAACTTAATTATCAGGCTTAGCAGCTAATTAGTGATAAAGACAAAAATAAAATTTAATCACCTTAGCTTGAGCCTGTCACATTATTTTCTGTT